GTGTTTTTATGTATTAGTGCTCATAGTTTTTGTGATGGTTTCTTGAATTGTTTTTGGTTTCTTATAGTTTTTCTTCATTTGTAATGTACTTTGTTCTCTTGCAGAAAAGCTTATTGTTGGATTGTGAAACACAAGTCGAGAGTCTCTTAACATGTGTTTTCGACAACTACAAATTATTATATGAGAACTCTCCTACAGGTTTAGTAGACCTATTGATTCCAATATCGGAGGTTGCAGCACTAACTCTTGTTGTGCAGCTACTATATACACTCTTCTTCACAATATACGTGCTGAAGATGCACAGACGATGCAGCCAAACTACTTACAGGTATATTATTACTTTATGTGCAAATTTGGGTTGTTCGACTGCATTAGGAGATTGCAAGAAGGGTATATAATTGGAGTTCCAGTAGTTTACTATCTTGATAGCCGACTAATAGGTTGTCTGGTTTCTTTCAATTAAACTATTGATGTGTTGTGGAAATTAGAAGTCTAAATGAAATGGCATTTTCTTTACAGATAGCATCAACAAAAAGGTGTCGCAAGCACATGGTAGAGACTTATGAGTTTGTATCAAACAACTCTGAGGGGTGGCATATGGATTTCGTGACAATTTACACAACATATTTGAAGCTAACTTCTGCATAAACATAAGCAATGAAATTCAGGCAGATCTTAAGATCCACAATCAGCATATACTCCCAAGGTACCAGAAACTTTGATTCACAGTAAACTTGTTTATGAAATGTACTGTTTGAGATCTCACAATTAATATTTAAAAATGATATAAACTATAATTATATATATGTGAAAACAAACTTCATTAAGATTATGCATGAATTAGTTGCTCATTTGGCACAAGAAAATGAGCAAATATACAAATGATCATTGAACTATGAACTTTCTATCCAACAAGAAGGAAAATATTGACAACTACTCTTTTTTTTTGTCAGTTCAATTGACCTATCAAGCATCACAGCTGCAATTTAGAGCACTGAGTTTTGTTAGTGGTGCAACTCGGGCGGGTTAAAAGGTCAACCATAGGTATATAATCTTCAACCCTATCACTAACCCTACCTCAACCCGTGGTAGTCAACCTGATTATTGCTCGAGTTTAATTCGGGCGGGCTCGGGGTGAATTCGGATTACTTAATTTGGGTTAAAAATCGGGTTGGGCTTGAGTTACTTAATTCGGGTTGATTTTTTCAAGTGTAGATATGATTTTTTCAAGTGATCTGAGATGAAGGGCGAAGAGCAGATGAAGAGAGAGGGAGTGAGAGAAGGAGGAGTGACGAGTGAGAAAAGGAAGCTGAGAATCTGAAACGACTTAGTGATGATTAAGAGAGGGAGGAGTGAAGAGTGAGAGAGAGATTTGAGAGTGATAGAGGCGCAGAAGTGAAGAGTTGAAGTGAAGTGAAAGTCTGGAATCTAAAGAGTAAAGATAAATATTAACTCTAGTTAAATATATTTATATATTTGTGTATAATCGAATTCAATCCAATTTAATAATCGGGTTCAGCCCGATTTTAATATTCGGGTTGAACCCGACAACTGGAGGCCTCAACTTGAGGCTTGCCCAAATTCAATTCAAATTAGAGTTTTTTTGCCCAAACTCACCCAAGTATTAAAAATTCTAATCCAAGCCTTGTTTTCTTCGAGTTGGGCTCAGGTTGAATTCGGGTTAGTCCACTCAAGTTGCACCCCTAAACTTGAGTACTGTCTGAGTTTGATTTCGGCGGGATCGCGTTGAATTCGGGTTACTTAATTCGAATTGATTTCGAGTTTGACTTGAGTTACTTAATTTGGGTTGATTTTTTGAAATGTAGATCTAATTTTTTCAAGTGATCTGAGATGAAGGGCAAAACACAAATGAAGAGAGAGGGAGGTTGAGAGTTCGAGACGACTCAAACAAGTGACGATTAAGAGAGGGAGGTTGAGAGAGGGAGAAATGACGAGTGAGAGAGGGAGGCTGAGAGTCTGAGACGACTCAAACAAGCGACGATTGAGAGAGAGAGAAGTGACGAGTGAGAAGGGAGACTGAGAGTCTAAGACCAGATGAGAGATGAGTGAGAATTGAGAGAGAGAGAGAGGATGAGAGAGGGAGGTTGAGAGTTCGAGACGACTCAAACAAGTGACGATTAAGAGAGGGAGGTTGAGAGAGGGAGAAGTGACGAGTGAGAGAGGGAGACTGAGAGTCTGAGACGACTCAAACAAGCGACGATTGAGAGAGAGAGAAGTGACGAGTGAGAAGGGAGATTGAGAGTCTAAGACCAGATGAGAGATGAGTGAGAATTGAGAGAGAGAGAGGATGAGAGAGGGAGAAGTGACAAGTAAGAGAAGGAGGCTGAAAGTTTGAGATGACTCAAATGAGTAACGATAGAAACGAGTGAGAATGGAATCTAAGAGTGATAGAGGTGCAGGGATGAAGACTTGAAAATAAAGTGAAAGTCTGAACTCTGAAGAGTGAAGATAAATACTAACTCTGGTTAAATATATTTATATATTTTTAATAATCGGGGTTCAACCCGATTTAATAATCGGGGTTCAAATATTCGGGTTCAACCCAATTTAATTATCGGGGTTCAAATATTCGGGTTGAACCCGACAACCCGAGGTCTCAACCCAAAACTTGCCCGAATTTAATTCGGGTTGGGGTTTTTTTTCCCTAGACTCAACCTAAGTATTAAAAATTTTAACCCAAGCCCTGTTTTTTTTCGGGTTGACTCGCCCAAGTTGCACCCCTAAGTTTTGTAAGAGACTTTGAGGTTTCCTTGCTGCATGGCATCCCGGCAATATGTCAGTGAATTTTTGATAGCAACTGCTGATTTTGAGAGGCATCTTGAATTATGGAATATAAGGTTTGTGACAAGATGAATATTGTATATTTCAATCCATTGTAAGGTGGTGTGGACTCAATCATCTTATACCACAACTATATAATGATGTGGATATAAGATTTTGCAACTTAAGTTACTTTATCTTTGTAAACCATAAAAAATACCTCTTTTTTAAGCACTGTTTACATTCAGTCTCGGTGGTGTCTCAATCAGGTTCTATTTTGAGACTGAAGGGTTGTTAAATTATTGGGCATCACCATTCGCAAAAGAGATGTACGAAAAAATTAAAGATTTTTTAATTGAGTAGGAAACTGCGATCAACCGGTGGCCACAATACACCTTGATTTTGGAATATGTGAATTCTAATGTTATTCCAACACTGTCATTTTGTTCAACCCTTATATTGATTCTCATTTCCTCATCTAGTAAAACTTTTGAATTTATATTCTTCATATTTTAAAAGGCCGTTGCAAATGTGGAAAGAGCAATTGTAAAAGCATTGGACAGTGACACATTCACTCCTCTGAAAGATAACATTCCAAAAAGGCAAGGCATACAAGATCAGAAGTTGAAATCTTATTTTCTTTGAGTAGAGAGTGCAGATCGCTTTGAATGAGTTCATGAAGCTGTTCTAAAAGAACAATACTCAGTTGAAAGGTCATTTAAGGTGTAGAGCAGCTTCATCTTCTATTATCAAGCTTATCACAAGGTTCTTTAATCTTTTGGAGGTATTCATCAATGGAATTTGTTACTTTTGTTATAGTCAATAGAGTTACTTGACTTGCAAAACATTTGTTTTTGACATTGATGAAAACCTCTTTTCCAACGTAAGTCAGATTTCTTGAGACGTTTGATATATCCCACACAAATGATCAATTGTAGGATAGCTTTTCTGATGTTTGAACTCCAGTTTCATTGCAGATAAATCTTGAAAGATATGAAATGGTGCCATCAAGTATCCTAGTAATGAATGTACTCGAAGTAATGCTGAGATTTGAAACTTCCACGAAACATAGTTGCTACAATCTAATCGAAGAGATTAGATTTCAGATGTTCGAAAACAAGTAAACTGGAGATTAGATTTTGTATCGCATATCAAATACTTAGAACTACCAAAATTGGTTTATATATTTGATGGTCTACTTCACTCGTTATCAATTGATTTTCAGCTGGATGTTCTACATAGTATCAGAACTAGGCCTCAGGTGATCAGTAAGTCATTTGAATTTCTAGGGGTCACCCCACTTGCCAATTGATGATTTTTTTTTTAGATCTTAGAGTGTCTATCGTTCCTCATTTTAGTCCTCCTTCAAAAGAAAATTATAGATAATACTGAAAAGATAAGAAAAACTTTAAAGAAACACCAGAATATTAATATACATAGCAAATACCTAGATATTATATTCATATAAGGTTCCAAAACTACCATAGGTACTTGACACTTTACAAAAATGTTAGCGGTGAATTCATTTGTTCCTGCCTTTTAGAAAATTCCTAAGAATCCTAGGTTACCTAGTTTAGGCCTGCCTAAAAGAACATGATAAGAGTTGCAAAGAGAGCTGAGGATAAGTTTAAAGAAACACTAGAACATTCTTGTACATAAACATTTCAATATAAAATCCTACAGCTACCATAGATTCTTGACACTTGGAATCTAATTAATCTAATCCAATTGATGAGAATATTAATGTTAAAATACATCAAATTAATATTTAAATTCATCCAATTAACATGCAAAAAATTTTAATAAACATTCAATTCGTCAAATCAACACCAATATATTATACAATTTTATTCAATTAATATTCAATTCATCAAATTAATATCAAATTACACCTATTAGCATTTAATGGTAACAATTGCTTAGAAAACTCATCCATGGCTCTAATTAACTTCGATATAATACCGAAATATTCTATTTTGGTACACAATCATAATAACCAGCCGTCAATCCTTTGGGCCAAAAAAAACCACAAAGTGTCACGTGATGAACCTGCCGGGTCATGCCAATGGATACGAGAAGCACAGTCAGCCCGTTGAAAATGGTCCCGTAATTAGCCCGTCCGACCCAACTCAAAGGTACAAGGTCCAAGCGAAGGCCCAAATGATACAAAGACGCTGCTAAGCTAAGCTAAGCTAAGCTGATTGTGAAAACTGAAAAGCCTTTGCATAGACAAAATGCAGAAAGGCCGCAAGCGAAAGCATCCTCAGCTCCGATCATCTCCGTCGACCAAATCTCCGACCAGCTCCACAAAAATTACCGGCGTTAATGACACCGCAGACGAGCCATACCCACATTACCATAGACCCACCCCAGAAGAGTGCCGAGCCGTAAGAGACGACCTATTGGCCCTCCACGGTTTTCCCCAACAATTCGCCAAGTACCGGAAAGAAAGAGAAATTCAAAAATTCTCTGATCTCAACAACTCGGATGGAAATTCGATGAAACTAGAGCCGTTGGATGCTTCCGATGCTAGTGGGTCATTGCAAAATGAAAGTGTGTTGGATGGTCTAGTGAGCACCATATTGTCGCAGAACACCACTGATGTCAACTCTCAAAGGGCTTTTGCGTCTCTTAAAGCTGCATTTCCAACTTGGGAAGATGTAAGTGTATGCTACTTTTGTTAGTCTAACGTAATGCTTTAGCTTCTTTAGTTGCATTGGCTTAAAGGGTACCGATAGATTTCGAACAGATTCTGTTCTTCTGCGTGTTTTGGACCTACATTTGTGTTTTTGTGATTTTTTTCGTTGGTTTTCTGTGATTTTTGCTTCTTGGTATCGACCAATTCGATTGAAATTGTGTTTTTTGAGTTTTCAGACCTAAATTGTAATCTTTTATAGCTATGTTATTGGTGTTATATTGCTTTGCCACAATGTTATTGATGAATCACAACAATTAGGATGTTTTTCAATCGTTTGGTTTTGCTCTAGTTTGGCGTCTTCTATATATTTGATTGTTTCTTATTGCTTTGGCTCAGCGGGTGTTGATTGTTGAGAAGAAATTGAATCTTTCCATGCCCACAACTGCTTTGAATGATTAGGTTTTAGTACAGTGAGTGCCAATAAACGTGCACAGAGCTTGGCATTTTTTTGCGCCTTGGGTTTACACTTTTCACTGATATTATTTGTATTTTTGTTTTGGATTAATGAGTGACAATAAATAGGATATTTCTGTACACTGTGCAAGATTAGGATTAGGGTTTGAACCCTTGTGTCTGCGCCTTAGCAACCCACTTTAGCAATTACCGCTAGGCCCAAGGCCACAATTATCAATGATGAATCAAGCTTGATGGCTGTCACTTGTTTCAGTGATTTTATTTTGGTTTTCATGTTATGTATATCAGTGAATGAGAAGCTTGTTATTCTAGTTTTCTAAACCTACATTCTTATGCATGATTTGTGTACGGATTAGCAACCCTTTCATTAATTTTCTTTATGTGCACCAGACGTTGATCGACTTGTACTTATCCAGCAATTAAGATTTTGTATGAGTTATTCACTCCCTTGTTCAATTTCTGGATGGGCACAATAAATTTGATCAACTTATAGCTCCCTTGCAAATTCACATATGGCTTTTCTTAATGCTGAAGGTTCTTGCTGCTGAGTCAAAGTGTATAGAGGATGCAATAAGATGTGGAGGTTTGGCCCCAACGAAGGCTTCTTGTATTAGGAATTTACTGAGTTGCTTGCTTGAGGAAAAAGGCAAATTATGCTTGGAGTACTTGCGAGACTTGTCAGTTGATGAAATCAAATCTGAGCTCTCTCATTTCAAAGGAATTGGGCCCAAAACGGTAATAGCCCATCCCTTCTACAATTGCTCCTATTTTCTGTTTGTGTAAGGATTGATAACTTGTCACTTACTAAGAAAAAAAGTGTGAAACTTTTGTTGCATTCAAACACTGAAGGGCCCTGTTTCGGTGTCGGTAATTTGACATAAATGCATGAACTTCCAGCCCCATAAAAAAATATTTGGCAAGGGAAACATGGATGGTGTTACAATTATCTTCTGAGGATTTCAACGGCAAAAATGTTAGCAAAAGGAGAGTGAACACAATATACAGTTGTTATTTGTGAATCTGATCAATAATAAAACTCAGAGATAGGGAAAATCATCCTCTAGTCCAAGTTGTTGAATCTGACACTATTGCCATGTAGTAGTCCTTTTGGCTACAAAGCCCTTCAGTTGTCCAAACTGTTCCTGGCTTGCCTCCACTTTGGCTGATGGTTTCCCTGATGCAGCAGGAGCTCCAAATGTCCAAAACTCATGTTGCAGCTGTACTTGCTTAGCAACTTTTTTTTTTTTTTCCTCTTGCCTTTTAGATTGTAATATGATGGACCAAAAGTGAGCAGGAACAAGGGTTCATTATATGTGGGTTTGAAAGGGAGGTTCCAGATGAGTCTGCTGAAGGCTTTTGTTTGTTCAAACTGATGATAATTCTGCAGTGTACCCACAAAACCAGCTTGAGGAAGAGAGTTAGTGATATCAGGGATGTCTAAACTGAGAGAAAGACAAAACAATTGCAATATAAAAGAAGTTAATCACGTATTGGGTGGAGGAAACTTATAGGTTCATCACTGTTATACAGATTCTTTATCAACACCACTAACTCATTGGCTTAAACTTTCTGTCAGCAATTTGGAAAGGAGGTGTGACTTCTTGAAAAGAAAAATTGCAAACTTGATTGAACTGCACTTGTCTGACAAGCCAGAGAGGCAAAAAGATCCTGCCAGTCATTGCAGACCTGTTTTTTGGGAAGCTTTCATTGGTTCAATTAAGAATGCTAGAGGCCAAATTTTTAGGCTTTAATACGAACTTCAAATACAAATACTGCTCATTTGGTCTGTGAAGGTTCATGTATTCTTAGCTTTTTGCTCATTGGCAGTTCTCACATAGGGACTTGAATGACCAATCTATTCTTACCCTGGGCCTTCCAAGTTTTTCTTAACCTCAGCTTTCTGCACATTAATGCCCAACGAGAAAACCAACATTTTCTGATAAAGTCATTCCTTGTAATATTGTATGACACTCGTGTATGGAACTTCCACCAGACTGCTACTTGATTCTGTCCACCATAGTTTAGTATAAATTTTATGGTGTTGTGCATGCTCCTGTGTGTGTTTATTGGCCAAAAATAACATGAATCGAGGTTGAGGTAAAAATGTCAGGCATTATAATTTAGCAGAATATTTGGCATGAAGATCTAGCCTATGCTTAGTGGCTATCTGTAGCCAAATCCAAGTAGTCGGAATTAATGTTTTGTTAAGTTGATATTTTACAAATCCTGTGGAGTTTGATACTTTGAAAATGGATTGCAGGTGGCATGTGTCTTGATGTTTAATCTTCAGCAAGATGATTTTCCAGTGGACACACATGTGAGTAACATTTTTCTCAGATAATTACAATTCTGAATCTGTTTTCATGTTGGCATTTACTATTCCACAATTATACAGGTTTTTCAGATAGCAAAGACCATTGGTTGGGTACCAGCAGTGGCAGACCGGAAAAAGACATACCTCCATCTCAATAAAAGGATACCAGATGATCTAAAATTCGATCTGAACTGTCTCATATTCACTCATGGAAAGGCCTGTCGAAAATGCATCAAGGAAGGAGGTAAGCAACAAAAAGAGGATTCCAGTGGTGACTCCTGTCCTTTACTAAATTATTGTGAAAACTCTAATTTGAAAAAGAAAATAATGGGATGAATTATTATTGCATAAACCCAAATTATTGCATTCTCTCGAGTCTTGACTAATTGTTTTCTTGCAACTCATAAAGGAACTAGGCTTGTAGTGAGATTACATCAAACAAATCTGAAAGTATAGGGTGATACATTGTTGCCTAGAGAATGCCAAGGGCGGAGGACGCCCAAGGGGGGTAGGGGTGGGGGCACCCTCCAAGCCTCCAAATATTCCAATGTAGCCCTTTATACTGTACATATCGTGAATGTAAACCTTACCATATTCAAAGGTTGATCCCCCAAAAGCTGCCCAATAAATTGGGTCCAAACGGACCAAGCTTTTTTACCTTTGAAACCAAAAAAAGCTGAGGTTTTAAGTCAATTTCAAACAGGCGCAATATGGTAATTCAAGTTTAGTTTAGGTTAACTGATGTTTGTCTAGGAATTGATGGTTCTAGTAGATTACAAGATTTGGATTAATACTGTAAATTTTATTATCAATTATGCATTATTTATCTAATCCACCAACAGAAATTTGCTTTCTTTGTAACGAGGAAAAGGAGTGGAAGAAACATTGATGCAAACTTGTTTACTACAACCATCATTTCAGTATGTTATACTGATTAATTTTTTTTATTACTTTGTTTTATTAGCTTCACGCGGATTGTTGAATTAGTAGACTCTATTGTTTCTCTCTAATCACAATGTTGTCCAAATTCAAAACAAATTGTTTTTCATGCATGAAAAACTTTTTAAATACAAGAAAGAAAGAAAAAATAACCTTTTCCCTTCTATTTACCATGCAAAATCGAAATTCATCATTTGTGATCTACACACTATGCAATCTAGATCTTCTCTATTATTTTTTCACACAATTTTACTTAATAATAAATCACCCACCGTGTATGGGTGCGGAGTCTACATGTAAATAATGGGTTCCATGTGAATACATCGTGGGTGATTTACTATTGAGTGAAATTATGTGAAAAAATAACGGAGAGAATAATATCTATATCGACCCGTTTTCTATCGTATGGAGTAAAAGTCAATCAAAATTATCTCATAATCCTCTCACCACCAGATGCTTAAGAAGAAATTTTAGAAGATGAACAGAAAACGATTTTCTCTATCTTGATCATATCCATGGCCATCAAAGTAGAAATCTGCTTAGATCTTGATCGAGTTGAACGCATCGCATCGATGCCTCACCTCTCCCTTGTGTCCCGTCTTGATACCATAGACGCTAAGCTTCTCCATAGCATGAGCAAAATCACGGAAGAATGCCGCCTGGTCGCCGGCATACTTGTCGACCAACGGCTTTGTCCTCGGGTCTGAAACCAGTGCATGGTCTGAAGCCTATAGCCCCAAGCCCTTCTGCAAGTTCTGGAAGAACATGTTGTCGAATTTGCATGGTGTCATCACGTCGAGGAAGGCCGACATTGATTGATCGGTGGTGTAATTGGCGCAAACTTTTCTTAAAGCGTCGGCGAGCATGGGATTGAGAGCTGGATCAACCTCTGAGGTTTTGCTGTAGCCGAAGATTCTATTGCTGAACTCTTTGCAGTGAGCGAACCCAACAGTGTGTCCACCACCCGTTAGGGCAACCATTTCTTGAACATTGAACCCTTTGGATTTGAACAAAGTGATCATCTTGTTCATGGAAGTATTAGCCCTAGCTAGGTTTCTTTCGACGTGTGTAGCCTGAGAAACAAGCCCGGCCGAGCCGGACTTTATAGTATGGACCGCCAAGCATATTGACGAGGTTGCGAGTGGAGAGAGCCAGAATATCGGCACAAGATACAATACCGGGGCAAGCCAGCTCGAGGGCGGTCTTGGCGCGGACAAAGAAGCCGAAGCCATCGCGAGGGAGGGAGTTGTTGATGTCGGCGTCTCTCCGCCTGGTTGACAAAGTTGGAGCTGATCAGAACGGAGGCATCACAGCCATCAACCATGCAGTCGTGGAAGAACAGGCGGAGGGTGGCAGCGGCGGTGGTGGGGTTGGTGATTTGCTTATTTGTGATGACTTCTTGCATGATCTGTTCAAATTTTGGGCATGTTTTTGCGTAGTAGTCGATGGTGAGTGCAGATTCTGAATGGGGAATGGAGGAGAGAGATGAAAGAAATAGAATGAGAAGAAATGGGAAAGCCATGGTTAGAGAGAGAGAAAGAGAGAGAGAGAGAGAGAGAGATCACAAAGACCTGCTTCCCCTCGCAGGGAGGGTGGGGAGAGAAAGAGGAAGCAGGGAGCTATTGGTATGACTAAATTGGAGAAGGTGAAAAAACGAAAATGAAGGCGGAGAGGCTGGTGAATTGTGGTGAAGAGATTTCTTTGGCAAGGTTGCCTATATTAGTGTAGAGTGTGTGTGAGTGAGAGAGAGTACTGACTCACTAAGTATATATGGCTGCGATTGGATGAAACCCGTTTCAAGTTATGGTGGGTTAGATCATAAGAGATTGGATGAAACCCATGATGCCTGCATCTTACTTATAAGCTAATATGATCCACCATCGCTATTGCAACTACCACTGCCGCCGTCATCACCAATATTCTACCTTCACAGAATGCCTCCTTGTTTCGGGACAAGCCAGTTTTCGCTCCGCTTATAATATTTCAGTGATAGATTTTATAAGAACTAGACGATCCTATAGACTACAACAAGGGATTCACAATCAAGAAATCACCCGTGCGAAGCTACACAGTATGAGCAATTAAAAAGGCCACAAATTCGATATCTATAAAGGATTGATCTGTATGCCATCATTCTACACTTCAATGAGTAGGGTTAGGATTTATACAAAAAAAAAAAATTTGGGCAGGAACAAGGTATTAAGGTAAATGAGAGAAGAGAAGAAAATACAAGATGAAAAAGAAAAAGATAGAAGATGAAAAAGGAAGAAGATTAACTTGAAAAAGTAGATGCCGTCGTTCCTCATGGTAGAAGCGTTGAAGTGAGGAAGAGAAGGGAAGGGAAGAAGAATATCTTTGGCACACAGAAGGGGCTTCGGTGGAGAGAAGAAGTTACCATTGGATTTTGGTATGGATCTCCTTTAATTTAGCTGTTGGTATAACTTTGAGCGAGGTTGGAACAAGTTTATGAGTTTTTTACTCAAATTTAAATTTGAGTCTAAATTTGAGTTAGAGTTAAAAGATGTCTTTAAATTAGTTGCAAGTTTTAATGTTGAATAAAATTTAGAAGCCGATCCCCCTATACGGACTTGTTTGGACTTAAGTCCGCCAAAGAAACTTATTTATTATGAAGTCTGTTTTTTGTCAATTTTACTAGACTATTCATTCTCTTTAGAAGTAACATAAAATTAAAAATTAAAAACTTCTAAATTTTAAAAATTTGACTAATATTAAAAAATTTTATCTCTCATATTTATCTCTCATTTGTTTGATTAAATCATTCAAAATTTATTTTTACCTATTATTTTCTTAAAAATATTGACAAAATTTCTCAAAATATGTAATTCGATAAATTTTTTAACAGATCTATATTATCGTGTCTGGATAATATCTAAAATAAAAATTATGTTAAATTACAAATTAATCAAATATTAAATGGTTGAATATGCGATAGAAATGAGTGATGTGATGATTTTGGGGGGTGAAAAATGTATAAGGGATAAAATTCAACTTCTTGTGTGTTTTATTATATAAATTTGTACAGATATAAAGAAAAATTTCATTCAGATCTCCTGTAATTAGGTCTAAATTCAATGACATTTCCTTCCGATTTTGAAATTTCACTGTTACTCCCTATTAGTGATTGTCAGGTTACACCATTAATAACGATGGTTGATTTATAGAAATATTCCCGAGTATTTTATAGGATAGATTTTATCTACACCCCTTATAAGTAAACCTAATTTTAACAACACTCCCTGTAAATAAACCTAACTTTAACAACACCTCTTCTTGATTCTATTATATTAGCCTTTATTTTGATCAATTTAATGTTCAATTTTATCAAATTAATTTTTTTTATTTAATTTAAACTAAATTAACATTTCATCTCATCAAATCAACACAAAATTGATATTAATTTTATCAAATTAGCATTTAGTTATATTAATTTAATATTTCATTTCATCAAATTAATATTATTTATTTAATTTAATATTAAGTTATTACTTATTTTTATCAAATCAACATCAAATTGAAATTCAATTTTATTAAATTTCATTAATTTAAAATTTAACCTTATTAAATTAATGTCATTTCTTTAATTTAACACCAAATGAACATTTAGTTTTATTAAAACAACATTCAAATTTATTCAATTAAAATTAAATTCAATCAAATTAATACTAAATTAATATTTAATTTATCAAAATTAAAATCAAATTTATTCAATTAATATTAAATTTTATCAAATAATTTTAAATCTATAATATAAAAAAAAGGCGGCTTCAACAAGTCGATCTTATGATCTCAAATTCATTCATTGAACAGTTAAAAAATTACAATTGTTTTCCTTAATATTTTTTCCCCTAATAAGTCAATGATTATGGCTGATCTTAGAATATATCTTACGGTCTCAAATTAATTCATCCAACGGTCAAAAATTAACATTTTTTTCCTTAATATTTTCGCTCATAATCAATCAACGATTACTACTGATCTTAGAATACAAGATTTTCTCTGACATAATAATTAAATGAGTCAAATTAGTCATTAATATCTTCTGTGTAGTGTAATATTTTCAATTTGTATAAGACACAATGATAACATTTTGATTAAAAAAAGCTCATCAATTTAAGATAAAACAAAAATAAGGGCGTTGATTAACACATTTATATTTTGATTAACACATTTATATTGAATGTAATTAATTTTAATTTTATTTATTTAATTAATTGTTGATTAACACATTTATATTTTGATTAACACATTTACATTGAATGTAATTAATTTTAATTTTATTTATTTAATTATCTCAAACTAACATGTCTTATACATATCTTGAATCAAAAATTCAAGACTAATTTCTTTTTATATATTAAGGAAACCCAACACTAATATATTCTTTTAAATTAATAATTTTGTAATAGCTTGTACTAATTAAAAATAATAATATTTTATAAATGATATGTTTTTTGATAAATTAAATTTTTAGTTTGTATTAAATTTAACTCGATTTTGATTACATATATATAAATTAACATTTGTTTTAAGCTAATTTTATCATATATTGTGGATTTATCTATAATATCCATAATATAAAATAGAGCCGCTTCAACAGGCCTATCATACGGTCTAAAATTCATTCATCTAACAGCTACTAAAATCTCTCTCAAAATCATTCATATTGAATTTTATCCTCCTTTTCTCACTCTTTACTTTCTCTATCTAGTAGTGGCAGAGGAGGAGGGGTCCGGAGCCACCCTGAAAAAATATATATATTTTTAGTTATATAAGTTTTATATATTTTTTTGGATTAATTGGGCCCACTGCAATGATTTACAAAAAATAAAATTAATTAGGTCAAATTAGTTGGGTACTAGAATAAAAAAACAAAATCAAAAAGTTCATACTAATCTCTTAAAATTAGCAAATTAAAATTAATTATTTAGAGTATTGCTATGATTTGTTGAAATCTCATTTGGTTCAAAAAATATGAAATACATAACCAAATGAGTAAAATATGAAATTTGTAATTAAAAAAAATTATAGAATATTACTTTTATTTATGTCAAATCTATATTTATAATAAAAAACAGGGTGACTTCTATAAGTCCATCATACAGTCTCAAATTCATTTATCAAACGGTTAAGAAATTACTATTTTTTTCTTAATATTTTTCCTCCCAACCGATCAACGATTATGGTTAATCTTGAAACACATCTTACGATCTCAAATTTCATTATTGAACAGTCAATAAATTAACATTTTTTCATTGATATTTTCCCTCCCAATCAGTCAAAGACTACGACTGGCTCAGATCACAAGATTTTCACTAACATAATAATTAAATGGTTCAAGTTTGCCATTAATATCAACTGTATAGTATAACATTTTAAATTTGTATAAGAGACAATGACAATATTTTAATTAAAAAAAATAAGAGCATTGCTTAACACATTTATATTGAATATAATTAATTTTAATTTTATTTATTTAATAACTATCTCAAACTAACATGCCTTACACATTTCTTGAATCAAAAGTTCAAGACTATTTTTTTTATCCCTTAAGAAAACTCAACGCTAATATATTCTTATAAATTTATAATTTTGTAATAACTTGTACTAATAAAAAAATAATATTTTATAAATAATATTTGTAGATCTTTTTTTGATAGAAAATATTTTGGCGATATGCTTTTTTATAAATTAGATTTTTAATTTATATTAAATTTGACTCAATTTTGATTATATATATATAAATTAATATTCGATTTTGATTACATGTATATAAATTAATATTGTTTTTAAGTCATTCTATTATATTTTGTAAATTTTATAATTTAAAACAGAGAGGGTTCAACAAGCTCATCCGACAGTCTCAAATAAACTCATCTAACAATCACTAGTATCTCTGTCAATATCATTTATATTGAATTTTACCTTTGTCTTCTCATTCTTCACTCTCTGTCAATATCATTTAATTATATATTTATTTAGATTAGTTGGGCCCACTGTAATGATATATGAAAAACAAAATTCATTGGATCAAACAAGTTGGGTACTAGAACAAAAAAATAAAAACAAAAGGTCCATACAAAATCTCTTAAAATTAGGAAACTAAAATTGATTCTTTAAAGTATTGGTATGATTTGTTGAAGTCTCATTTGATTCAAAAATTATAGAATATATTGTCAAAAATGAGTAAAATATAGAATTTATAAAGAGATTAAAAATTTTAGAATATTGCTTTTATTTGTATCAAATAAATTATATTATTGATCTTTAATGTATAGATGTTATCTTATTAATTTTTTTCAAATAAACCTTTTTTTATGTTTAATAAATTTTTAAGTATCAAATCTAATATAAAAAATATAAATATATAACACTATTTTTTTCTATTATACTTAAAGTGTGTCCACCCTAAATAATATATTTGGCTCTGTCACTGTTCTCAGGGATCTTCACTCATCACATTTCAAATTAATTGGTTGATTTATGTTACATCGTGTCTTTAGGCACGGGTTACCCCTAGTTTTATATATGAAATATGATGTGTGAGGAGCAGTCGAGCGACATTGTGGAGAACATATGATAGCAGAGAAATTAGAAATGGATGAGATTTTGGCATTTACTTTATTAATTGTAATTTTTATTATAAAAAAAAATCATTTTTAACTATAAATATTATTGTGATAAAAAAATA